CGTCAAGACAAGTGGGCGGGTGGAGGGCGGGCGTGGCGGGCGCACACCCATAACAGGCCTACACCCAAATGGCGGCCCAATTAGCTCAACGCCCCGCCCAGCGCGCCCAAGCGGAACAATGGGCGGCCTCGTTGGTCTTTCATCGCTTCGGTTCGCCTCGCACGCACCGCATCGAATTCCGAACGAAATCAACATGGCGAGGGCCCTTTCCGCTTTTGTTTTTTTCCAGAAAACGGGGAAAAAAAAGGTACCCACCCACCAATTTATTTTCTTTCTAAAATCACTGATTTAAAAGTGTGCAACTGGCGCACGTGCTCACTACTACGTCGCAAACTTGTAAGTAGGTATTTGAATACTGGACAATGTTTGTTTAACAGTAACATTGAACAAACATTTTAACAGTTGGACACTTTAAAGTGGAATAAAAGACTAGTTTCTAAATAACGTTGAATACTATACCATTTGCATGCCAGTTCCACACTTGTTGTCAGTGAATAAGAGTTTTGAAAATCATTTGCCTGCCACGGACCTAGGTATTTTATTACAAGCCTATTTGTTTTATGTGTTTGTTTTTTTACAGATAACAGCAAGAATAACCGCTAGTCTAATTTTTTTCTTCTCTACCTCTCTCTCCCTGGCAACGTGCCTGACGCCCGGCTCTCTGTACGCATGTGCGTCATGTAAGCGAGAGAGCAAAAGAGAGAGGAGAGAGATCAAAAGAGAGGGAGAGAGAGATCACAAGAGAGGGAGAGAGTGCGACTCGACGTGCGCAGTGGTTTTATTCCCCCTGTACTGCGACTTGCATCGCTCCAGCAGCGGCTGCGCGGCGGAGGGCGGGCCCCAGTACAGTAAGTAGCTGTGATTTACCGAGCACTGTTTCGGCGCGCCGCTCTGCTCCGCTCTGCGCCGCCCTCCCTCACAAACAGGTCATAACTCAAACATGGCCGCCGCCGCACCAACACGCCACAATTTTTTCCCAAATACACACACACACCACACACACATGCGCGCGCGCGTACATCTTATGGGGGCGCACATAGCACACGCCAGTATAAGAGAGCAAAAAAAAGCAAGTTTGGGAAATTTATTCTCCGCGCTCGCCATCACCCATGGCGACCCGGTTGTCATGTCAACACAACAGCACGCCTCCCCTGGTTGCCATGGCGACGCCCGAGAGAGACGCCGCCCACCGACAACCGACACATACACACGCGCGCGCGAGCGTTACTCACGCTGGCCAGACAAGCAAATAAACAAAGGCGTAAACAAACAAACCAACCGACCGAATGCTAACCGTCGCGACACGCTGCATCCAGAAATGCACATCCATCAGCCCTCCCCTCCTTCAATCCATCCCCCCCCCCTAAAAAAATTACTTCAATCTATCCATTTGCCCTCCTTCAAGCAATCAATATACACATCCATCCATCCATTCTTCCATCCATCCATTCTTCAATCCATCCACCCTCCATTAACTCATTCTTGAGTCAAACCGTTCTTGAATCCTTCAATCCATCCATCCCTTAATCTTTCACTTTGTCCATCCCTCCCTGAATCTTTGAATCAATCCTGCAATCCACTCAGCTCTTGAAGGTTAGATAACTCACCTGTACTCTAGATTCCGGCAGGTTGATCTTGAGCGCCACTTCTTCCCTCATGAAGATGTCCGGGTAGCGCGTCTTGCCGAACAGCGACTCCAGGATGTCCAGCTGGGCTCGGGTAAACGTGGTCCTCTCCCGCCTCTGCTTTCTCGAGTTAATGCCTGGTAAACAGAACGAGAAAGCAAGGTTAGATACGAGAAACAAAATCACATATTTGTCACTGTGCTCAATAAAAGTGCTGAGAGAACCATCGCGCCCTTCCAAGCTCACGCAAGTACAAAGGTAACACATTAAAAATGCTGGGTGGGAAAGAAATGGTTTTGATCGAGGGGGTATTCACTTCAGTAATACCCTGTACACGATGACTGTAATACCCTGTAATACTCAGTAATACCCGGTAATACTCAGTAATACCCGGTAATACCTTGTAATACGCAGTAATACCTGGTAATACGCAGTAATACCCGGTAATAC